GACCTGCTGGGCCAGGGCCGCTTCCGAGAGGCGCTGGGCGCCGCCAGCCGCGCGCTGCGAGCAGGTGGGTGGCCCGGCCCCGGCGCTCGGGCTCGTGCCCAGCAGCCCCCAGGCACGTTGCCCCGTCGTGTCCAAGTCTGCCTTCCCCGCAGTCCTGTCCCCTCATCTGAGTCCTTCACCCCCGACCATCTCTGCCTGTGCCCCATTTCTCCTCCCCATCATTGCTGCCCTGTATGTCCTCCCCCCAACGTTGCCCCATCATGTCTGAGACCCCCTTCTCCCCCAGCCTATCACTGTTCCTCCAAACAGAGTGGTGCTTTCTCTGACAAGCCCAAGTTTTCCAGTGTTCCCAGACCTACCCTTCCCACGCTGCCTGCAGGCGCCACCACCCCTTATGGCTTTATGTAAAGGGATGTGTCTGGTGATCCACGGGGTGGGTTGCAAGGCTGGGGCAGCAGGGCAGCTAGGCGTAGGCTTGCACATCAGTCTCCCTCACTTCTGTGGTGGGTGTTGTTGGACAGTGGCTGCTGGGCGAAGGATCCCTGCTCTATTTAGCTTGTTTCCCAGTTACTTTCTCTCTCACTGGTGTCACAAAGACAATCGCCAGCAGGCTGGGCCTAGTTGCATAAGCCGTCGGGGCATGGAGGGGGACAGGTTGTGTAATGCTGGTGACATCACAGGTGGGTGTGGCTGGTGTTTTATAATGTAGTGTTGGGAGAGGGCACAAGGGATGTTCCCTGTGAAGGGATTATTATTTAGTGAGCACTGACAGTATGCTTGGCACACTGTAAACATAGAGGGCATGGTTGCCATTTCAAAGAGGTTAGTCTTGTTCATGCAGGCATTTGGAATCTGTCACGATGAAGGGGATATAAATACCTAGACAGAAAGTCAGATTCCCCCTTGTAGCACTTCTGTTCTCGTGTGGGTGGCTAACTTTGGTGATATGCAGGTGTCTAATTTTCCATTTCATTACACTTTTTCCCTTAAACTGATTGTGGTGCATCTAGAAAGGAATACTGGTAATGCTTAATATGCTGCATTTGTGCAGTTGCCAGCTGCAGGAAAAATTGAAGCATAGATGACAAGCTGAGCAGTTTCATCTGACATGACAAGCCTGTTTTCTGATCCAAAACTGGGGAGATGTGTTAAAGATACAGTTTCAGCATAAATTGTCAACAAAAGTAGTTTGTCTTTGGATATGTTTTAGAATATTTCAGACCTGTAATTGCAGTAGTTGGTTTAGATGGGAATTAAAAAGGGTGGGGTCCAATTTTACTTTTGGACCAGGAATTTGTTGAAAATTAGAAAACTTATTTTGTTCATATTCTAGAAGTTGGCATCAACTCTTATGCATGTCACAAAGAAATGAAGTCATATCTAAATGGCTTTCCCACAGTAGTTTAGATTATCCATGATTAATCATAAGCGTATAGTTGGAAGTTAAACAGCTTCAAGTGTTTCTGGTCTCTAGTTCTTGTTTTGGTTTGGTTTTGGTTTTTTGGGGGACTAAGAAAAAATTTTAAGGCAACCAGAATTTTATACAAAAAGTTTAAAGTAAAAAGTGTCTGCAGAGGTCTCTTCTGAAGCTAGTAGCATCAGTTATGGTTCTGATTTTGCCATTAAAACTTGAGGCTTCTGTGGAGAGAGTTCTTTTGTTGCAAAATTTAAGTTACATTTATGGTTTGGCTTAGTTAATTCTGGTTAAAAATTGAAAATAAGCTTTCAGGCCTGATACTTATCCATAGTTTTGTTATGTGTAATTATGTAAATATTAAATCGTAGGCTTATGTAAGAAGCAAGGATTTTGGGGGGTAATATCTTTTCTTGAGCCAAGTGCATGGTTAGGATAAAGCTAGACAAGCTTTCAAATTCAAGGCATTCTTTGAAGATATTCAAAAGCTTAATATCTCTTGTTTGTTGTTTGTCTTTTTCCCACCCCACCCCATAGCGTGGAGAAATATTCATGTTTCAAGCCCTGAGGGCTTTTGTAGTTTAAAGTTGTTACTTTTTTAAATACCAGTGCTGATGTACTGGAAGCTTTAAGGAGAAATATATAAATACTGTTGTTTTAACATAAATTTAGAGACTTTCAGATTCACTGATCTGTGAATATATAATGTGAAACATTGCTGTAAAGTAGGCAAATGCACAAGCTGGTTACTGTGAATTCTGGGCTGCTTGGAAAGGAGAGAGCATCTATACACAGAACAATTTATTCTCTTGCTGTTTGTATTTGTTTTAAGGAAGCTTTTTCCCCATCAGCCCACCCCTGTTCTGTTTTGTGTAAACCTACATAAACTTATTTGACGTCATGAATTAAAGGCTACCACCATATCCTTATTCAAATAACATTTTTGCAAACTTTCTTTAGTGGAAGAAGGAGTTTATTTAATGATAAGCTTGGATGTTTGCCTTGGTATGAAAATAGCTTAAAATGTGAGAGGTTAGCTGTTGTGTTGGTAAGTTTTTACAGTGGAGTTCTGAGTTCCTACATTAGAATGGAAGTGGATGTACTTAAACAGAGGCTTTTAGATTCAAATCTAGATAAAATTTTGTATTTTGTGTATTTTTTTTGTCTTTAAATACTTGCCCTGATTTCCCTCCTAACAGGCACAATTAATGGATTTGCTCTCATGCCATTAAGTAAGTTCACTGAAATCATAGAATCATAGGGTTGGAAGGGACCTTGAGGGCCATCTGGCCCAACCTTCTGCAGAAATGCTATTCCTAAATCATGCCTGACCACTACTTATCCAACCACCTCTTGAAAAATCAGCAGTAAAGGGGAGATTTTGTAACTTCCTGGGCAGTCTGTTTCACTGTCTTTTCCCCTCCTCTCGTAAAGAAAATTACTTGAATGTTGTAGCTTTCATTTTTTTCTTGCATGAGTCTATAACTTATTTGCTAAAAGTGAAAACCAATGTAGTTTATGCTGTCTGTCTGTTTATATTTTTTACTATAAACAAATCTGAAATCTGAAAATGAAAATACAAGTAGACAGTTACATTCTAATATATGAAAATTAGGGAGTATATTTTGATGCTTGCAAGTCTGGAAATCTTAACCTAAACTTGGGACCATAGTTGATTATGACATTAATCCTTTAAATATTGCCGTTTTGAGGGTAACCATTTTTTGTTAAACAGCCCTCATATCTACAAATACAGGCATTTCCTTTTGCAAACAGAGTTTTCGTATGCAAAGTGGGTAGATAGGTTGTGATATCATTGTGTGGGAAAGTAAATGATTGTGCTCGTGTTGGCAGCACATATTCTAACATTAGATTATTCTTGCAAAAATTAAAATACAAATAAGGCCTAGATCTTGGGAATATATAAGCACATGTTTTTATCTTGATGCATCATCTTGTACCTTTTCAGTCAACAGCTGTCTTTTTTTTTAAAAAAAAGAAGAAAAGAGTAAAACATATGTTAAAAGAACATTATCAACTGACTTTAGGCTTCAAAAAATGAAGGTGAAGTCTGGAAAATGAGAATATCCAAAACCCTTGCTAATTAGAAATGTTCCAATATTTGAAATACAATTTGATATCAATTGTGGCTCCGTTTTCAAAAGGTACATGTTTCTCAGTTGATTAGATTTTGAATTGACAAAGTTGCATTGCTGCAGGTACTAAATTGGTCACTGAGCTTCCTTGCCACTTGTGGCTTTGTAGTCCTTTTTGCATGTGACCTATAGACGTTGTGAACTCAAACCCACAGCAGAAGTTTGGGGCTACTGTGAAACTAACCAGCCAGCTCTTTGGCAAATTGAAAGGTAAAACTAGTTGATAACAGAAACAGTGAAAGTAAACTAGTATTTAGAAGGGCCTTGGGTGTACAAATGCATGGAATTTAATATTAATTTTTCCTGGCTTACAACCAAATGGATTCTCAGGGTTTGATTTGAAAATTTGCAATTTTAACTTGAGTATCAGTTCAGAAAGGCTGATACTTGCCTTACTCAAAACCTAAATATGAACATTAAAAACCAAAGCCTTTTTAAAACATCTAACGAAGAACTGGGCACATTAGCCAGAGTTGCTTTCACTTGTAATTTTAATCAGAGATAATTACTCTTTATATTTATCAGGACCTGAGTTTGAGACTTTTAAGACTTATGGATGTAGCTGTTACAGTAGGAACACAAAATGCTGAATCCTGGATTCAACACTCTTCTTTACACTGAACTCTTATTAAAAATTTTCTCTTTTGATGGTACTGCTAATGCAGATCCCTATAGTGGAAGTAATACGCGGCAGCCCCAAACTCTGTTCAGACAGCACAGTGATAATTATGCTGATTGGCATCAGATCATATTGTAGTAAATATGAATACAATGTTACAAGTGGTTTTGCAGTGGCAGGAGGATATTAAATTTAAATTTTAAATAATCTGATTTTAGATATCAGTCTAAACAAAATAAGTATATGACAGTGAATCTATGTGGACATATGAACAATTAGTGTGGAGTAGCATATGTGTGTTAACCAGATATCATCTATTCATTCTTACCCTGTGGCAAGAGGTAGCTAAATTACCCCTTTCTCACTGAGGGCTAAAGAGCATGTATTAAGTCAACATGTCTGTTGCTCTGTGGTAAAACTATATCAGGACTGTCTAACTTCTAAGACCCCAGGGGCTGCATACTGTACTACACAGATGTTCCCCCCCACCCTGAATCACCATGGCACCATGTGGTCACACAAATGTAATCCCTTCATTTGCCTGTCCGCTCCCTTCCTACCCAGCAGCCCCACTGCACTGCCCTCTGGGGCGAAGGCAGGAATTGGCAACTGCAGGGGGCAAGGGAGGAACCTGGAGAGTGGTGGCCAGGTAAGAGCCATGGGGCTACACATCCCCTCACAGGCTGCCATTTGGACAGCCTTCTCCTATAGAGTACATTGTTCATATGCCAATACCATAACTTTTGGGTGTTTGCATTATATGTAAAGTACATTCAAAATGCATGTATTCTGGGATTCTTGAGTATATATCAAATTTTACCCTTATGTTCATTTTTAACTCAAAAAGTAGCTCTATCCTTAGTAGTTTTAAAATTTTAAAATTATATATAACTTTGACATAAGGTAACTAGTTCAATACAGTTGCAAAAAATGTACATACATTTCTAATATGTTCTATACATTTGCAAAAAAATTGCAACCATCCCAAAAAAAAACAACCTTTCAGATTTATAGCAGTCTTACATTCTTTTAATCTAGCATAGTTGTTGCTTTTATTATCTTCTAGAGTGCGTGTGTGTGTATGTATGTGTGTATATATGTGTGTGTGTTTATATAATTAACTAACTGGGATGATAATTATATAAATGCATATATTTCTTAATGAACTAAATGTTTTGTTTTCAGATCCCAGTGACCTGATGTTAAGGATTTACAGAGCTGAATCATATGCTGGCCTCCATGAATTTAAGACAGCTGTAGAAGATCTAAATTTTGTTATTTCTAAAATGCCAAATTGGCCAGAGGTAAGTTGATAAGTAATTTGCACATTTTTAAAAAACCTAAATTTACATAAAAAATGACAAATTTTGCTCAAGTTGCACCAGATTAATTTGATTGACCTTGGCTTTGTCTTGTAAAACTTTGTTTAGAGAAGTGTATCTAAACATTTGATTTAAAAAACATTAAATAATGGAATTGTATTACGTGCTTTTGTGCATAGCTGTTTTGTTTTCATTCTGCTTAATTTTTTTTAACTCTTTAGTATTTTCTTCATGCTATACTTTAAAAAAATCTGTGAAGTTTTATATGACAAATAGACTATGAGGATTTGCTTCTGCGCAAGCAAATCTATTACCATTCTCCTTATTTTATAGACTGTATTTTTGACAAGGGCTTGTTATATAGGCCAAACATTGGCAAAATCAAACTAAGCAGCCTGAGGACTTCTGCTCCATGCGAGCTTTCTAGAACAATTTTGATAAGGCATTTGGGAGGCAAGACAGTCCATTGAGGCTTTTTTTTCTTTCTTTTTTTTATCTTCTGCAATGTCTTTGGTCTTTGTCACAATTCCAGCTACTTTCCTTAACTCTAGGTTTGTTTTTAAATGGTTCATCGTGGCATTTTTATATGACTGTTGTGGGGAATGGAAAGGAAGCAGGCAAGCAAATTCATGAAATGGAAGGTTTGTGAAAGACGGGCTGCTTTCACTCAGTGGTTTGTTTTAAAACAAGGAAGCCTTGCAAAAAATCCTCACAGTGGTGTCTGCAGCATTTCTGACATTTAACTTTTGAAATCTAATCTTTTTCAGAAGTTCTTTTTTAAGCTATGTTCAGGTACTAAACCTACCTTGAATTACTCTTATGGGTTTGTTGTCCTATAATTGGCATTTTCTTTCTTTAGAAATGCAATCACACAAAAAAGAACCTGGTAGAAATGGAGGCACTGATTTTGCTAGATCATGGAGTAAAAGAGACTTAACATGCATTCAGATGTACAGAGTAAACAAATTAAATAAACACTTCCTTTTATTGTTACATAGTTGCAACATAAGTGGGTCAGTTCTTCTGATGAAAGTGTGTGTGGGTTTATCTTTTAGATCATGTGCCTTCACCATAAAAATAGGTATTTTAGTTGGTTGTTAGGTTTGTTTGTTTTTTATGGTGCCCTTCCCAAAAAGTTTCAGGGTGGTTTACCATAGAAGACAAAATATAAATTATACTGGCTTTAATCTACACACCTTGAAGCTAACATAGCTCAGTTGGATTAGACAAGGGGATTGGACAAGGGTTTCTGAATGGAAAGGTTTAAGAAACCACAGATAATTAAGACAATCAGAATTGTAAAATCTTGTAGTCTTTGCTGCTTTGTAGTAAAACAGACAGGAGAAAACCAGTTGTTACCTAGTTTGGGGAACACAGTTTGGTTGATTTAAGTGAAATTTCAATTATTCTTGATTCTTATTAGGCACATGAGTGCAGGTAAACTTAATGTGACCTGTGATGAGTGCTGAATATTAGATTTTTCCCTCTGCTCTCCCCTCCCCCAGTATGTGCATGTGTGCGTTTGCTGCAGGTTTTAGAGTAGAGGGTTTTGGCAGGGGGAGAAGTAAGGTGGTTTGTGTAACCCATCATTGATGAAGCTTGTCAGGAGAAAAGGGCATTTTTCCCACCAAAAGGCTTATTGAGCTGAGGCAAAGGGTTTAGCAATGCACTTTGCCATACCTATTCCTGCCATCTTCAAGAGTATCTACCCTAAACCACCAGCATCCACAAAGGACTCTTCTTACCCAGCCTTTTCTCACTGTGGACCTGCTGAAACAGTAGTAATAGTACAGTGTTCTCAGATGCCTTAAAAACCTGTAGAAGAAAGACAATAGAGATGTTTCCCTTCTGTAGACCTCTAAAGATCTGTCAAAGCAACATGAAGCCTCTATTCTAATTCCATCTTTGTGAGAGAGAAAACAAGTTTGATGCTTTAGTTGTTGTAATACTAATATTTTAATTTCTTAAATTGGCTATCTGTCTGTATTAATCTTAGGTCTACTTCAGGAAAGCAAAAGTGCTCCATGACTCTGGCTTCATAGGTGATGCCTTAAAACTGTTTCTACAGTGTTTAGCTCTTGATGAGGATTTTCTTCCAGCAAAGCTAGAAGTAGAAAAGGTAATTCAGCATGTATAAACTGGTTTTCTGTCTTGGATACTTACGACTTAATACTAAGAGTTACCAAGTCTTTCACAATCTTCTTGGGAGTATGCAGCAGCTGTTATGCTGTAACTTAGCTGTGCATGAGCCTATAGAAGTAAAAGTGAGTTCAATAGTCCCTTTCTGGCCCTGGGTGAAGTAGGGTTAAAGTTGTCATGGTAGTGCTATCTTTTGTATGGCTGAAGGCTCTTGCATTGTTAACACAGCATAACAGCTGCTAGATACTCCTGAGAAGCAACTTTTCCCCTGCTCCTCCCCTTCCCCCTGACTTTTGAAGCTGCTCCATACCATTTAATGTATTTATCCTTAATTCCACTGTGTTCATAATGATGAAACTCAAATTAAATTTGGACTATTTCCTTTTTCAAACAAATTTACTTTATATTCAGCACATGATCACAATGGATAAAATGAAAATTTCACACATGTAGAGGTTCTACAAAAAGTTAGGTTAAAGGAGACTTGTAATTGATGTGGTTTTTCTAATAAAACTAAGCTTGTTCCATCTTAAAGAAATCTTACTCTCTAACAAATGCAAAACAAAATGAAGGAGAAATTAAATGACTGAAATCTTGCATTTTAAGGAGAGTAGTTCGTGAATTATATTGACTTGTATTGCACAAATGTGATTTTTGCCAAAACAAATCTTAACTAGTTATCTATGGTTCTCAACCTTTTCAGAATCAGGGTATCCCACTACAGCTTTGAAAGTGGTGGTATGCTCAGTTGAGAACCACTGTTGTGTTCAACTTACCTCAAGTGCTTCTCAACTAGGTGATGCCAGGTAAAACTGCCCTATGCATCTGCTGTACAGCCAGAGTGGGAAGGCACATGCACATTCTCTTCCAGGTTTGGGTTTCTCTGATCAGCCTAAAGTAGGCAGGAGAACTTGCTTATGCTCCGGCCCTTCACAGTTTGACCCAGCCAAGCACCTCTTGGAAGCAGAGGTACTTGGGACCCTGGTTGAGCACCACTGATCTAACTATAACATACTTGAAAAGGTGGTATTGCCTTATTGTAAGGGAAGGAATTTCAGAGTAAGTTCTTGTGTAGTTATAGGTGTGGCTGTGACCCTTTTAAAGCAAGAAGCTTAGCTGAAGCTAGGCTGCAGCTGAAAAGGGAGAGGGATAGGTGAAAAGATATTGACAAAAACTAAATTTCATATTTGGTATATAGATTTTCATTAAATAAGTGGTTTTATGTATGGACGTTTGTTTACTGAAGCTATAACTGGCTCTCTCAATAATACTAATGTTAAGATGTTTTTCCTTTAGACGCTTTGTGATTTGCTGTCACCAGAACCTGTGAGAGAAAGTCTGAAGGAATCTGCTTGGAGTTCACCACATATTCGAAGTAAACCTTTGGCACTTGATTCTGCGATGGAAGAGTCTTACTATGAAATACAACTTTCCCCACAGCAGGCAAGTAATAAGAGCTATGGGATAAGGCAGTCTGTTTTCTTTGTTTGGTAGGAAACTACAAACACTGGCACTTAAGATGTTTATCATTCTTCTGTTGATCAGCTTTTTGCTATTGTGCTTGTGCCTTTCTTTTTGCTAGATAGTCTTCTGTGATCCTTTTCATGAATCAGCTGATGGGGGAGGGAAGGGGTAGAATGATGTGTATAATGCAGGCTTTAACAGACCATGTGAAACCACTGTTCATAATCTTTTTTCCAAAATTTATTTTTCCCCTTTTGTAGAAAACTAGGTTTGAATTTTAAATAGTCTTTAAATTAGCTTGTGAAACTTCTTAATTAACCAGTGCATCTATCTAAATGTACATTCTCTTTCTAATAATATTTAATTGTAATAAATGATTAGCAGTATTTTGGAAGTGAGTGTTTAAACAGTTAGCTTTGTTCATTTCCTTCCTATAGCAATTAGGAGAATCAGAAGTAACAGTCGAGTCTGTCAATGCAAGCCTAAATCGCGCACAGTCTGCCCATGCTCTTAACTCAACAGAAAAATTTGCCAAAGAAGATGGACTAAAAAGAGTTTCCTCTGAACCTCTACTGTCTGGCCAGGAGAAGGGTGCTTTGCTGAAAAGGAAGCTTTCCCTTTCAGAACAGGATATGCTTTTGTGTGAAGATGGAAGAAGCAAACTTAAAAAACAAGGAGGTAAATAATCACTTATTTGCAAGGCTAGATACTTACTGTGTTTTGTATTGCCTTCATTTATGCATCTTGTTTTTCCCGTAGAAACTACAAAAAGGGATATTGCACTTGTTTGTGGAACACTTTCAGAGGACTTGATTGATGTATCTGACTTTGAATGCTCTCTGTGTATGAGGTAACATTTGTACTTTTACAGTAGCTTCATAACAGTTGCGTGTTAATGTGTAGGCAGATAATTTATATAGGTGTAAAAGGTTGTCTTGTCCTAGATATGTACTATTAATTGAAATTAAAATCTGTTTAATATAATATTTATATTATATAATATAATATTTAATGCTGGGACACAAATTGATAGCAATGTTTGCTTCAATTTGAGTATCCGTTACTCTCCATACAAGGAAGGAAAAATCTTTAAGGTGAAAACGCATCTTTTCTTTTTATCTAGGAGTTTTGTTTTGGTGGATAAATAGTATTTCAGCTCTAACTTTATATAAGCTTTTTAGTTAAAATTTCCAGGTACTGGATGAGATTCTCAGAGCAGAACAACTAAGGGGATTTGTTATATAGATTTGATAGATTCAAGTGTTCTTGTTTAGTCTTTAGGTTGCATTGTGTGCCAAATATCAGAAGTAATTATGGCATGTGCATGGTAGTTAACATGTATGACCATTATAATATTGCCTTAAGTTAATGTGTCAACCACATTTCTGTGCATCTGTATATGCACAAAAGTATGTTTTATATTCCCATCCCCATCATAGTCAAGGAAATCAAAACACAATCAAGGTTTGTGTTTGAAGTATGAAGTACAGAATGTCAGGATACTCAATGTTAATGTTGATTTTGATTACCAGGAATCCTGGTTTTCTCTGTTTAAACATCCCAAATTCTCCAGTCAAACCCCCCCACCAAATTTGAGTTTTTCCATGAGTAAAATGAAATGCCCCATGGGGGGGGTGTATAAAACTTCCAGATTGCTTTAAAATTGTAAATAATATTAATAAAGTATTGTGTTAACCTGATATATATACCAGGATATATATATTGTATATTTTATTATAATGATTTAAGCACTAGTAAGCTTCCAAATTGCTTTAAATGGTAAATATATTAATAAAGCATTGTTGTTAACCTGATATCAGGTTAACACAATGCTTTATTAATATATTTACCATTTAAAGCAATTTGGAAGCTTACCAGTGCTTAAATCTTTATAATAAAAAAAAAAATTCTAAATACCTACCTATACATTTTTAGCATTTTGGGGGTGGGTGGGGAGTTGTTGTTTTTTACCATGGAATATAAGAGCTCTCCCTGCCCCTTCACTTACCAGGACATGGGGTCCAGCTGTGGCTGGAACTCTGCCAGCCTGCAAGGGGAAACCTGAGGTTTCCCAGATTTTTCTCCTTTAAGGTAGAAAAACTGTATTTTTCTGCAGCAAACAGAAAACCCGGACCCCAGTTGATTTACTGTTTTTTGTCTAACTGAATCTTCTTGAAAAGTTTTAATTTTTATAATTTTTGTTTCAGGCTATTCTTTGAGCCAGTAACAACCCCCTGTGGCCATACTTTTTGCAAGAACTGTTTAGAACGTTGTTTAGATCATGCCCCACAGTGTCCACTCTGTAAAGAGAGTTTGAAAGAGGTAAATCTTTCTCTTATACTATTTTACACTAAGATTTCTAGAATGAAAGAGAACTGTAAGAAGTGATATGGGGTCCACTGCTTCAATATTGGGCTCCTTCCAGCGTTAAACAATCAGCTTGATACTGAGAGGGGCCCTATTTTATATTTCACTGCAATCATGTGGAGTCTTAAACATGATGGACCTTGATACCTGTTTAATAAAGAACCCTCTTGCTAGCTTTTATAAGGCTTGCAAATTTTGGTTTCTCTTGCTGCTGTTACAAAATTTGAAGAAACTGACTTTTTACAGAGATAGTACTTGGGTCTTGTCAATTTCAGTATTGTTAAATCAGGGATGGGTAAAATACAGTCTGTGTACCAAGTTTGACCCACCATGGAATTTTATCTGGTCTATGATTGGTTCCTCAACTCTGCCCAGACAAGCCCAGGCTTGGGGGCAGCCCAGGCCATGGCATGTGTGGTGGGTCCAACTGCCCCTGGCACTCGGCAGGGCTTGGGGCAGGGCAGTAGCTGGACTCCACTTCCTGGCGGTTTCTTCCAGCTCCCGCTGCCAATGTTGCCAGTGCTGCCAGATGCAGCCCTGCTGCCCAGGCACCCTGACCTGTCTGCCCTGAACCCACCACTGGGGGCACCAGAAAGCAGGCAGGTGGGGTCTATGTGGAGACTAGCCTGGAACCCCTGTGGGCATGGTGTGCTTGGCCAGGCGGGTAGGATAGGGCCACAAGTGGGCAGAGAGCAGCATCTGGGAACAGGGTGGGTGTTCCTAGATGCTGAGCACATGGGGGAGCAGCATGTGGGAGTGGGGTGGACAGGCAGGGTTAGGATTGGGATTGTGGGCTGGTGACAGTATGGGGCCAGGGCTGAATTAAAGCCATGATCCTCTCTCCGCCTGGCAGATCATGACTGGCCTGACCCAGGAAGGGGGCAGGGCACACACCTATGAGCCTGCCCCCACCCCAGCACAGGCACACACAGGAAGCTCCAGTATAGCACAGCTGCAGCCTGTCACCACCCCTTGATCCCAGCCCCACCTGCCCATCCCACTCCCTGATGCTGTTCTGTGCCCCCAGCCCCATCCCATCTACCCAGGTGAGCATGCTCTGCCTGCAGAGGTCCCAAGCCAGTCTCCATGGAAACTCCACCCACCCACTCCTGGAGCCCTCAGACTTGTTACCAGATTTGCCCACCACACTTTGGGGTGTGCTCATTTATTAGGGCTAGGGTCTTGGTAATTCTATTAATATGCTGCTTGTGTTACTGGTGTCTCTATACGGGGCTGTATCTCTTCCCCTGCAAGCCCTCACCCCCAATGGAGCTATCTTGCGGGACTCAGTTCAGTGGGGCTGGGTTCCTCCAGTCCCCAAATCAGTCATACACACGAACACACACAGATTAACGTGACATGCCTGACCTGGCCGGGTTGATCAGCATGGACAGGCTGACACCCTCATATGCCAAGAATCAGTTCATCAGAGCAACAATAACTACAGTCAGACACAAGCACACAGTTAAACAGAATACCTCTGAATCCGGCTGGGTGTCCAGATGACACCCTCATGGGCCAGCATTCAGTTCATTAGGGCACGTCTGAGCCAAACGGGGTCAATCAGCCTGTACAAGCTGATCCCCTTATGTGTTTCAAACTCAGCATGTCCCAATCTTTTAGCCTCTGGATGAGCAGACCCCACAGTATTTTTGGGCTACACAGGGATCTTTAGCTTAGGTAAAAGAAGCGTTGCTGCAGAACAAGTGGGGAAGGAGAAGTAGAGAAGG